GGCTTGCCCATCAAGCCGCCGGTGACAAGATGCGTTCCTAAAGGTGTCGGTGCTTGCGCCAGGACCGCTTAAACCCCTTCGCTCCCAACCGGGGAAAGGGGATAAATGCACCTGTACGGAGATTTTCTGGTTCTATCCAACTGGGGGGGAGTGGTTGGTACGCCGGAGGGCGAGAAAGGGTGGATCAACCAGGGAAAGGGGATAAATGCACCTATATGCAGATTTGTCTGCTTGTGTCCGACTGGGGAGAGCGGTTGGTACACCGGAGGGCGGGCGTTCGGAGGGCCGAGAGGGCACAGCTGGCGAGAACATCAAGTTCAACACGAGCAAATGCCAAGTCCTGCACCGAGGAGGTGAGAAACGTGGGAAAGGGATCGAAATACCAAGTGCCTGGTCCTAGATGAGTTGCTGGTTGGAGAGGATGGAGGTTGGTGGTCGCCGTTACGTGCCAGGTGAGGACGCAGCCTGGAAAATTAGATCGTGAACCAGATACTGGGTTTGGAGAAAGCAGAAAAGCCAAGGACCAGGGCCATCAACAGAGGAACGAGGCGTAGGCTCTGCGGTGCAACTCACACTCAAATTCCTTCTTTATAGACCGCTTATGTAACCTGTTTCTCCTTATTTCGGGGCTGAGGATGCCCCACCTGCCCTGCCCTTGGTTTTGTCTCCCCTTTCCAGCAAATCTCGCCCGCTTTTCCATCTGTCCTGCCTCTCCCTTTGAGCTGCCTCGGCCTCCTCTGTCCCTACGGATGGCTGCTGCTGCCTGGATGTGCAGGCAGAGGGAGGAAAGACGTCACCGCAGGTATATTGCAGAGCGTGCCCCTGTGATGGTGGCCTGCAGGTGACTCTTTGCACAACAGACGACTGAATAATGGGAGAAGGGTGAAGGATGCTAAAACAGACAGCTCCATCTGCGTGGGACTTCATACATACACGTTATAAATGTACATTAAAATGTCTCTCTCCACGTTCAGCTCCCTTCTCGGTTTCCCTAGTAGCAGCAGTCTTCCCTCTGAGCTCTCATTACCGATTCCGAATATCTTTGCTTTCGTTCACACCTTCCAACCTGACCTAGTTACAGCAGTTCCAGGGAAACGTAACCATAGAAACAAAGAACCACCAGCCTGCATCCCTGCTTGTTCTGAACATCACCTGATCGCTGCACCGCATCTTTCCAGCCTGGAATCCTACGCCTGCAAAACACGGGATCGAACATCCTTTCCCTCGCTCCCTGTAGCAATGCCTCAGCTAATGCATGGAGTAAGGCACCCCTCCTGCTACGCATTTGCACTGTTGTCCACGATAGAAAAGGTTCTCTCCCGATCTCACAAAAAATGAAGTTGCTTTGTGTGTCGACTGGCGACCATCTCACAAACATAACCGTAAAAGGTGTTAATAAATAATGTTTAGCTTCTTTTTAAATTTAACCATCATATTCAGAACAGTGCAGTAATTATTTCAATTTCTATTTTTTTTCTGATTAAAAGAATAATTGACCTAACTTTAGTTGATATCATCAGTTTGTGTTTTCATCGTGAATACAAGGGGGCACAGGTCAGTTTTCTTTTTCCTATTAAAAAAAAAAGTTTCTCTTCCTACACAAGTTAAACTTTCAGAAATTTGTTTTAAGGGACCTTAACTACAGCCAAAAAGCACCACTGAGCTTGATAAACTGCAGCCTTGTTCCCCTCATATGCCTTCTTTGATTGCAGCCAGAAGCTCTAAGGGATGTTCACACCTCATTAACAGATTTTCCCAGACAAATTACGGAACAGTCCTTGGAATTACCTTCAAAGCTTCTTCTCATGTCAGATCTGTGGCTCTGTTTCTTTTCCCCTCAGCAGATGATCCAGCCCAAGGTCATCGCGGCAGCTACCTGAACCACCCACCTGTAAGCAGCGAAGATTTTCGCATCCTGCTCCAAGCTGCCGGTTGTCAACTGCTGTTGGTTCTCCTGCACTTGCCACACTCAGGATCTCAAAAGGTCTCACAGAGGCGAGAATGATGTCTTTGTGAGAAAGACTGCGAGGGAAATCCAGCTGCCTTTACGCACTCGCTGCCATCCAGCATCCAGCTGCAACTGCTGGCGCTAACAGAGAGTCAGACTTTGCTGGAAGACAATGAAGTAGGTAAAACCAGACCTGGCCACTCTGCTTTTCCAACAGCATTTCTGCTTTCCTTGTTTTACCTTCGCTACTCCCATCTCTTGTTGTCACAATCTAGCTGTGACCCAGCTTCCCGGGCTAGCAAGGATCACCGAAAATCCGAGGGGAGTTAAGAGATGCTCTTTGATTCCGTCTTCTGATCTGGCTGCAATTCATTCTTAGCGTCCCAGATGGCTGGAGATCCCCAAAAGTCGGGGGAAATAGATT